AAAGCGATACTAATACTTCACATGATTTTGATTCCATGCTTCTGCTTATACAACCAAGGATTGTATTAGCTTTTTTGGCGGCGGCTACACACTGCTGGTTCATGTTTAAGTGACTGTCCACTAGGACTCCAAGATTCCTCTCACAGTTACTGTTTTTGAGGCTGGTTTCACCTACTCTGTACTTGTACCTTTGGTGTTTTTGTTGACATTTTGGGGTTTTTTTTTGTTTGGCATTAGATCATTTCATACCATGGGCATTGTTCTTAGGCTACTGATGCTCTTATATCTTTATACCAGTAGTAAACAGTGCTGGGATTTATATTATGCTACAATGACATCAGTTTGTAAATGTTTAGGATTTTGTGAGCATCCTTGGAAAGAGCAACTTTGAAAGACAACTTTATCCTGAATAAATAAGAGTATAGGGCAATCAAAAGAGGGATAAATATAGTCATAGAGGTGGGGGAAATCAATTAGTGACTTCTTTTTGTAATGACTATATAAAACCTCCAGGATTAGAAGTAATGCAATTTCAAATATGGATTGCTGGAGCATAACTGCAGATGGGACCTGTTGCTTCTGTGTCCTGCTTAAACATTACATTGAGAGGGTTCTGATTGGCCCTAATGGAAACATGATGCTCGGATAAAGATGCCTTTAGTCTGATCAAACAGAGCTCTTATGATTCTTTCTTATTTTCTGTCTATCTGCCTCACGGTACTGTAATATAAAGCAGGACTTCAGCCAAAGACGTGAGTGTTCTTCCAACATTTCATTACTATTTTCCCTTTTTTTCTGTTGTTTGCAGGACTGTGACTTAGTCTCTACTCAGACCAAATTTATTAACTGCAAAGAAATCTGCCTATGCTGTCTACGTGATCTGGGCACATCACTAAAAAACATTTTTGACCTTTTACATTCTTCTCCTCTCCTCTACTGCAGCCTCCCTTATCTTCCCTGCATCCTCTTTCCCTTTTCCTGAACACAGAACAACAACAAAAAGCAGAAAAGCACTCCTTTCCTATGCAAAGGAGGTGCCACTGCACACAGTACTTGTTTCATAACCATTGCTGCTCTATAAGCACATGACAGTGACTACAGAGTTGCTGTGCTTACTTTGAGAGCACACAAATGCAGAGGGTTAAATGTGAGGGAGAAAGTAGCAAATGTTTGAAAATCACATGTACATGATCATTAACAGCCTTACAGACTCCAAAGAGTGTTCTTTGTGATAAGTGTACACCTATTTTTTTTGTTAAATATGTAAGCAAACAGTTCTTGCGCAGAAAAGTAAATATAACAATTAATTGGGGCACCACAACATCATTGTTGGAGCTAGAAAGTAAGCAAGGTTAATACATGAATGAGAAATTTCTAGAAAACTCAGGACCGCAATCTAAAAAAAGAAATCTCAGAAAAAGGTTATAATGTTATAATGGTAAGAATGTTACAAATATATGAAAAGTAAATCCTATTTTTCCTCTTGTTTTTATTTCATTCATTAGATTTTATTGCGGATCATAATCATCTGCTACTTAGTACATTCCTTCTAGCTTGCTATCTTTTATTAATGTAAAAGTTTTATGTGCAACTTAACTTATTCTGAAAATAGTCATTTTAACTATGTGAGAGCAATCCCATAGGAATAAATAGGAACTTTCTGCATGGTTTTGCAAATTGTTTTCTAAAAATAGCTCAGTGATTAATCTCTGAAACGTCAATGTTGTTCATGTGACTCAAATGTTTGGATGACTTGATAGAAACAATCATATTTTCCAATCTGTGGGTTATTTCAGTTCCTTATTGTCAAAAAAATAGTCCTGGTTTCTACAATAAGCCATTTTTTAATTTTCTATTTAGGCATTTTTAGGCATTGAGCATTCTTGTGCGTCTCTCCCATTTTCTGAAATCTGATTTACTACTTACTTTGATGGGATGCCCGTCCTGTAATATGGAGTTGCAGGGAAGACATCTGAACAAAGTTAAGGTCTTTTAATTAAACGAATACTGATGCTAACCTCAAAGCTAGTTAATGCCATTCCTGGGAAACTTTGGGGAAAAAAAGTTGTTTCTGTCCAATTCTGCCATGTGATGTAGGCCATCTCCACACGATGGTGCTACAGTTATTCTTTACTCTTATTCCGCATTAATCTAGCCATTCATGCTTTACTAAGGAACAAAACAACCATCTCAACAGACCTGTGATTTCTGACCCTGACATTTAAATAGTATTAAATCATTATACATGGCCACATAAAAAAAATCTCCTTATCTACGTAACAAATACAAGCAGGCTTCCACAGCTCCATAACCGGAAGAAAATTATGTTGTTTTGCTGGAGATCAAACAGGATCAAGCCTGTTTGAATCTTTGGAGAGAGGCTGTTTATGAAGCAGGTAACTTGGGATAGAAAGCACACTTCCTATCTGTCAGCCCTGTGTGGAAACCAAAACAGCTTCACTGAGAACATATCCACTTTGCCTTATTGGACGTATTTTTCTAAAAAAAACAAAAAAAATTAAAAACCATTTCAGGGCTTTAATTATATGTGCAGTATGAGTATGCATTGTTTTTCCAAGATCAACATGGCTACAATTTTGTGTCAAATGAGTGCTCGTATTAGATGTAAAGTCAGAATCCACATAGAATGCATTGCAATGATCAAGCATGTGCCACAAAAGATGTGGTCTAATAATTGCCATCTTTAAGAAGCAGCCATCCTGCTCTCCTTCAGAGTAGCATTCATGTATCAATTAAGGCATCCCCAACAAGCCAGTTCATTCTTTAATTTTGCCTCCGACATTTCTAAATTGTGTAGTAATTTTATAAAAAAAAATATAATTACAATAATACTAATACAAACTAGTGTTGGAAGAAAATATCCTTCTGGGTTCAGTTCCAAGTGGGGAGAAAGACACTGGAAACATGGAGGTGTTTGGAAAGATGGTTTAATGGTGGACAGGATCACATGCCTTGGAGCTCTTGGGTGAAGAAAAGGAGGGAGATGCTGAGAGTCCCTGGGTTTTATAGCTCCTCTGGCTTTGACCTTCCTGGAGCACAGGAAGAGTATCCTGATTGGTTGCTATCAGAGGTCATAGTTAGCTTTGTAAGTTGTCTGTGTGCAAAGTTTGGTTGAAACTTGGTGGGTGGTGCAATGAAGGCCAATTAAATGGCTCTGCCTGAAGGAGGTAGATCTTAGTTATGTAGAATAGACTGGCCCAGGCCTTAATGGTCCATTAACGAAGGTGGGGGGGGGGGCTGAGTTTCTGCCCCTCTGAGTTTCTACTTCTCTTTTACGGAAAATATTCTGCCTTTTTAGTATATCCTAAAATATTTCATTTTTCTAGGAGAGGGATGGGTTTTCATTTCCAAAACTAAAAAAGAAAAGAAAAGAAGCGCAGAAAATAAAAAAGAGAAAAGCAAGAAAAATAAGATTGGAGAAAAAAAAAGAAAAGAAAAATATAAAGGAATAACTTTCCCTCTTCCTCACAAACATTAGTGTTTGTAAATCAAATTTAGGTGGTTCTCCTTTAATTGAAATATTTAATTTTTTCTACTTCCTTTTAGGGTCCAAACTCCACTTAATTTTTTTCTAGAAGAATTAAAAACAATAGCATTTTTCTGTGGGAAATCTTTTATAATTAGTTCCAAAATCTTATTTCAAATCCATCTGTACCTTTAACTCATTTGTAACTTTTCAAAATCAAAGTTCTAATCACTCTTTTGCTGTTTATTTAAAAAAAAACTTGTACTGAAAACTTCTTTTGCTAGGTAAGGATTGAAGGAAACTAACTCAATGATTTTGGACTTGTTGATCCAAATGTTCCTAATAGCAACAAAACAATTAACAAGCAATTTCCAAACGTGATTAGAAAAGGAAGTATGTGAACCCAGTGTCCCATTGAAGAGACTGACCATACTTTGAACGAGATGGCTATTCCTTCATCTCCCAAAACTCTAAAACTCGTGGGAGGCAGCTGTCTTGCAGTCTTTCTATGAAGAGCAACTGTCTGAGCTAGGCACTTATGAGCATTCTCAAGTCCTTTCTTTGTCCAGAGAAGAATTACAAAGAGCCAGTCTACTTATCAGCTCTTCATTCCACTGTGGTGGTCAGTTCCATTTTTGTGAATCTGTCCTCAGTTTGCCATTTCTTCCCACTAAGTTCTGGCTTTTCCAGTTTAGGTGTAAGATCATATTAACAGAGAACTGAGAATTGATAGCATTGAAGAAAAACATTGTAGAATATTTTGCATATCAGTGGCATTTTCAAGAGGAGTGCCAAACTCTGAAAGATAGCAGGCATTCTTCAATGCTATCAATTTTCAGTTTTAGACAAGATCAAATATTAAGTTAATTAGCTTTGTTTTGGCTTTCGTGTGGAATGAGAATAAAGGGACCTATAATAGTTGGGACAGACAGTGATTTTCCTCTTTTTTCCAGGATTTTAATACTGAAACTTTACAAATGCTTCTGAGGACTTGGGAAATGAAAATGGTCAGGAACCTTAAATGGACAGTGATGATGAAGAATATATTCCATCGGTGCATTGTTTAGTAGTTAGCACTACATGTCATACCTCTTCCCTTTCTCATAGAACTTATTCTCTTCTGCTTCAACTTTCAGAAACAAAATGTCAGGATAAATTGGGATGAAAAGCATAAATAATTTGAACACAATTGGACATATAGTATTTTCAGGAATCCCAACAATATTTCACTCAAGGCCTCTTGCAGAGTTCCAAATGGACCCTTGAATTTCTCACACCTTAGTCAATTGAAGTATTCTCTGTATTTTTTCAAAACTGATTCTAAGTTGATCCAAAGCCACATCCCCATTGAAAGCAATGATGAGGTTATCTAGGTAATTCCTATTTAACTCCAACTTTACATAAAATTAAACATAATCAACTAGCTTAGTTATAAATACAGACACTGGGAGGCATCATTTCAGTCTGTCTCATCTGATTTTTCTGTTGTCCATTTTTCAGAAGCATTTAAAAGATGGATGAAAGTTCAGTACCTACTGAACTGCGTACCTCACCTGATAGTGATGATTCAGCAAAGAAAGGCAAAGGCAAAGGCAAAGCTAAAGGATCACCAAAAGAAAAAGGAAGTCCTAAGGGGTCAGCAAAAGAAAAAGGAAGTCCTAAAGGGTCACCAAAAGGAAAAGGAACTGCTAAGGGGTCAGCAAAAGGAAAAGGAAGTCCTAAGGGATCAGCCAAAGGAAAAGGAAGTCCGAAGGGGTCGGCCAAAGGAAAAGGAAGCCCTAAAGGGTCAGCCAAAGGAAAACCAAAATCTCCTGGTAAGTGTAATATTATATAGAACTAAAGAAAGTTTGTCTTAATCTAAAGATTAACACAAAAATATTCAAGAATAGATGAATGCAACTAATGCTTTGCCAATGTTTGTGTGTATTTATTCAAATATTCAAGTATAGATTGTTGTTGTTAGTTGCGAAGTTGTGTCCGACCCATCGCGACCCCATGGACAATGTTCCCAAGTGTAGATAAATACCATTTTAACTGAATCACAGGGAAAGGCCCATAAATTGTTTATTGGGAAAGAATGGATCAGCATGCAGAATGAATGTGCTGTACAAGGGTTGAATCATGAAATTCAGAAATGAAGCTTTTGGAAGGGATCTTGTCTTTACTTCCTGCGACCGCAGCAGCTGCTACTAAGACTCAGGATTTACTGGAAAGGAAACTATATCAGGCAGTAAAGAATTGATCCAGAATATGTAATATATGTAAGCCAAAAGTATGGTGCTTTTAGTAATTTTGAACCATTCCCTACTCATATTCCATTCTGCTCATTCTTGAGAAGAGATTGTTCCTGGAGTCAGAAAGTATTTTCCCCTTTGTGTTTGTGTGTGTGTGTATAAATATATATGTATATGTATATGTATATGTATATGTATATGTATATGTAGGCAGGCAGGTGCGCGCACACACACACACACACACACACACACACACACACATATATATATATATATATATATATATATTCTTAGTATTTATTATATACATATATTTTTATTACTTTTTGGGAGAAATATACAGCCATGAAAATAGTGATCAGAATTCTTGGGAGTCAGACAGCAAACAAGGGTAATAAGTCATCATCACATCAAGATACTAGGCTACCTTCTGTGTAAGGAAAACTTAAAATGTTTGGAACTTTTTAGTTGTGTGATGGAATGAGGGGGTAGATTGTTCCTGGTTTGGGATTAGAAATTTATAAAATCAAGATTGGAAGAAAGTTTCTATTTCCTTTTCTGTCATAATACTCAAACTCATCAAATAAAATTCACTGACAAAATCAAATAATATTTCAGGTCAAAGACAGTACATAAAATACATGGTGATACCCTACTAGTGAAGCCTTGATAGGAATTTCAGCACATTAGCAGAAGATAATCCTCACCAGTAGCCTGCTAGTCCTGATAATTATCGTTCATCAAGTGGATTGTACATAGAAATTGAAAACACAAAGCACACCCTACCTGATTCAGAAAAGCCCTTTCTCTTATTTCAGTTAAAAAAGAAGAGGAACCTGATCTATCTATGGCAAGCATGGGTAAGTTCAATACTAAAGAATAAATAAGTAGATAAAGTATGCACAGTTAGTTGTGCCAGCCATAAATGAAATGAATAATCAACAAAAATGTCTTCTATACTCAACCTTAGTGGAGCTAAGCACAAATATCATAAAACTGCTTATCTTTGCCATAACATACAACAACCTAAAACAGCCCAAATAAATCTTGTTTTCACAAGAAGCTATTTATTTTTTAAGTTAATTCCAAAATCTTACAGTAAAAGTCAATGTTACAAATTTAACTGGATCCTTGTCCCATTTATAATTTTCTTAGATCAAAATCTTATCTGACTTTTTGCTGTTTATTTCAAATTCTTTAAGTTCTTAAGGAGGTGGAGATAATACTTCTGAAGGAATGCAAAATCCATTAAGGAAAGAAAAATTACAACTCAATCCTGAAAAAAAGGATAGTGTCAGAAAGAAACCCCAAATATCTTCACTTTGTTTCCATTTGGTGTAAAAGGGACAGGGGAGAACTCTGGCTATAGTATTCCTGTAATACTAGTTTGGCCTACTTCAAAGGCTTGAAGTTTACTGAGACTGAAGTAACTCAATTGATGGTTTGATATCAAAATGTAGTTTTCTGTAGCCTGAGTCTCAGGACTAAGAGCCTCTTAGTTTAGTCAATATTTTCTAAAGAACATCCTCAGGCAGCTCTAGATTTTTATATGAAAAGAATCATCCAAGGGGAAGACAACATTTAGTTTACATTGAAGTTTATTATTTCCTTAATAACACAGTTATCCCCACACACTCACTCATACTCACACTTCCCTACAATGTAAAGTTTTTCTGGAATGTAAAACAAACCTCTCTTTTTTTCTTGGTGATTTACTCTTGTTTTACAATATCAGATGACTGGCCATAATTTCATTTTGATGTAACTTCATTGAAGGCGGGGTCCTACAAAATGTAGGGAAAGAGTGTGTTGAGCTTATTGAGAAGTACACTATCATTTTAGAAAGTTCGTGACATCGTGGAACTTTGGAGTAAATACAGTAGGCTCTCTCTTTCTCTGTTTCTTACACGCGTGCACACACACATTAATTGAAGAAAATTTTGTATTTTTTTCAGGCCACCCAGAAATATTTCCCTTGGTCCTCACTGAAAAAACACAAGAAATATTTAATTGCTCTGCTGATGTAGATGTAACAGCTGAAAATCCTTACAAGCTCATTAAAAAGGAAGATATTATTAATGACATGAAGACAAGAGCTGCAATTTCTGACTTCCACCCTATCAAAAAAGTTATACTAGTAAGTTACCCTTCAAGGCATGCTGTAAGTACAATTCTCCGTTGAAACTTGATGTGCTTGACTATAATAGTTATCCTAGATTGCATTGGATTGGGTTTTTTGAGATCCTTGAATTAGAAATGGTCAGCCTAAATGTGTTGGTTAAAAAAAACCACACCATATTGCAGAAGAGGATATATATCTCTGTTAATGCATGTGAAAAATATAAATTCAAAAGCCAAAAATGGTGGACTATTAAAACAATGGGTAGCAACTGACATAGGGCTGAGTTATAAATTCAGTCTCTCACCCTGTTCTCTTTTCTCAGTTCTATTTGGCTCGTATTTTTTCTAATTATAAAAATCCACTTATCTATATTCATACAGGATTATCCTGGCGAAGAACTCCTGCTAGTCTTTGACAGAGAATTAAAATATGGACAACTCTTTCATCTTATTGCAACCGAAGAAGCTAAGGAAAACCTTTTAAATGTAAGAGATTGTTCAGTTATTTGGTATGTGCATGATATAGAGCCGTGATGGTGCACCTATGGCATGCGTGCTGGAAGTGGCCCAAGAGGCCACCCAGAAGAGCCCCACTGCACATGCGTGCCCACCACCTGCCGAACAGCTAATTGTCGGGTATCTGGCATGCATGGCTTGGGTGCGCGGGAGATACACGCACATGTGCAGAGATGGCAGCGTGTGTGGGGGGGTCATGTGCGCATGTGCAGTGGGCGTGGGGGGATCCTCACGCATTGCCTTCTGGGTGCTGGCACGCAAGTGTGTGAGTGTGAGCACGTGCACAATTTTCAGCACAGGATCCCGAAAAGGTTAGCCACCACTGATATAGAGGGTAAAAATAGTCTTCTGAATAGAGAATAATATAATTGTCTTTACCTTTATTTATTTTTTTAAATCAATAAGTTAAATGTTAACACCCTTACTACTTTCCTCTCCATAGCCACCAGAGCCAGAGGAAGAGGAAGAAGTGAAAGAAGGGGTGCCTGAAGAAGTTTATAAACCTCCTGTGCGCAAACCTTGGGTTTCACTCGGAAGTGAAAAGGAAATTGAAGAAGAATCAGTCAGGGAATCAATAAGGAGGGTGAGAAGACTTAATTTTATTAAGCAAAATCTAAGGGAGTAACCTTGTAATACTCTGTAGAAGTAGATTCTAGCTGCAGTGGTACTTTGGTACTCAACTGCTTAGAAACTCATCAAATTTGGTCGTCAATACATTTTAACATGAAAATTTTGTCCCTCATCAATTGTTAGTTTATTATAACTTATTAGTATTAGGAGCCTCAGTGGCGCAGTGGTTAGAGTGCAGTACTGCAAGCTACTCCTACTGCAATTTGGCAGATTGAATCCCACCAGGCTCAAGGTCGACTCAGCCTTCCATCCTTCCGAGGTGGCTAAAATGAGGACCCAAATTGTTGGGGGCAAAAGGTTGACTCTGTAAACCACTTTGAGAGGGCGGTTTAGCACTATGTAAAGCACTATAAAGCGGTATATAAGTGCTATTGCTATTATCTGCCTACATTATTCCTTCTGGGAAAAATTTGATACTCATAATTTTGGGTACTCATTGTGCCTCCCAGAACCAATTAGTGATGAGTACTGAGGTACCACTGTATTTATGAGAAAGCTTAATGAGCCTCTTAAACATTTCAACATGTTGGTTCCATAACAAACCAACCTTGAGGAAACTGGGAGAAAAGTCTATATGCATTTTTATCTACATTTGCATATTCCATTTTCTTTCTTTCTTTCTTTCTTTCTTTCTTTCTTTCTTTCTTTCTTTCTTTCTTTCTTTCTTTCTTTCTTTCTTTCTTTCTTTCT